TTCAGGTAGAGTCCATCACCACACCCAGATTTAGAGCCTGATAGTTGGTTTCTAGCTGGATTAGCTGACGCTGAATGCTAATTTTTAAACTCTTCCTTTAGCCCGAAAATTATTACTTCTGTTTAGTCTTGATTCAGTTGAGGAAAACGTTCACTTATCCATGCATTCATTTCTTCTATGCATTTACTCAGAGCTGGAAAAGGTTCACAGTCCTCGGCTGTATTGCTTTGTATCATCTGCATAGTTTTTTATTAAATGGTTAAAGGAAGCATGTAGAATATTAAATAGGAGGGGCCCTAAGATGGACCCTTGGGGAACATCACATGTGATTTTTTTGGTATCTTATACAAAAAGCCTTTTTCCTTCAGGTATTATTAAAGCAGTCCAATGCTGTACAGGAAACGTTGACCCAGTTTTCCAGGTGCTCAAATGAAACGCAGGTTAAATAAGGTAGATGTTGTCCTGGGTTCCATCTTTAGTCTTTTCCACCTTCAAACCAGATTTATAACTAAATAGTCATCTATTTATCACCATAAACTCCAACCAACTGTAGAAGCTTCTCTGTTCCTGCTGCATTCCCCCAGTACTATGCTGCTCCCACCATGTTTCACAGTGGGAGTGACTCATGACAAATACAAGCTAACGTTTTCAATGTTTTCTCCCAATGTTGGCTTATTTTAAAGACTCTTCTCTAAAGGGCTGAGTTAGGAGTAATAATGACAACATATTCTCCATACTAAAGTGTGGATCTCTGACATCACTCCCTGCAGGTCTCTTTGGCTGTGGGTCAGTTTGGTAAAATTTCAGTTGTGCAATCCTCTCTCCATGTTCAGACGGTTGATTAACTTTAAGCTTTTCAAAGCATGAGAGACTATTTTAAAACTTTTTAAAGAAACTTTAAGCCAATGAAACAAAAAACAGTGCAAAAACAGTAGTTTATACTTTAGTATATATAAAGCAAGTCACAGAAACAAAGAAGCACTTGCAGCTCTGCATTGAAGGAAGTGAATTTTCCACTTCGTTTAGTTTAATTCATTTTGATGTGGTTCCAATTGAAAATTTCACTTTGCTTGAAATTAAAAATTCTTTATCATGGAGAAAAAGCAACTAAAATAATTTGCTGCAAGTTGCAACAATGTTTTTTTTAAAGATTTTTTGACATTTTTGAGTTATTTTAAAGAAAAATGATCAGTTTTAATCAGATTTGAAGTAAACTTAATAAACTAAGGTGTAAGAAATTTGATTTATTTAAAATTTAGTTCAAAATAAAATCAAACAGATACTGAAGCTATCACCTTTAACTAATGATTAAAAAATAACTGTAAAAGGAAAAAATGAAGAGGTCTAAGGGATTAATCAGTTACTATTTCTTTTCAAATATATCATCTTTAAATTTTTTTAGGCTTGGGTACAGGGGCCATAACGGGGAGCAGAACTGGTTTTATAGGGCCCCTGTTGGCCCCTATCAAGGTTACAAATCCTGCAGCTTCTTGTTTGTTCTTCTGAATCTGTAGAAGGAGCATCAATGCTAAATGTAGCCACTGGAAAAAGCTGCAGAAGCAGTTTCTAAATATTGATTTTCTACAAACATTTGAAAATCATTTCACTTCTCCCTCTGAGGTTTTTCATGTGCATCGTGTTGTTTCTCTGTTGCAAAACAGAATTTGTGTTTTAGATCTGAAAACATAACAGTATGTTTGTTTTCTGTTTGTCCCAAATTCCTCATAAACTGTTTTTATCTTTTAGCTCCACCCACCCGGCGGGTGCTGACACATTTCTCACCTCCATCGCTTCCGCATGCAGCCTGCAATAAACGCGGGTTTTGCATTCACGCCTCGGTGTCACTTGGGGGCACGCGTGCCATTTGCGCCACTGTCTCGTGCTGCGCGCCGCTTTTGTTCCCGCTCGCCTTTGATGATGCGGCGGTTCACCGTGGGAAACACGGAGGAGGTGATTATGCGCACGCGACAGCTTTTTAAATGCATAAACCTTCTGAAGCCTAAAACTTCTTTGCTGATGCAGATTGGCTTATTTAACCAAACACGTGCAGCAGACCAACCATGTAGGCCTAATAATAGGAAACATTTTAAAAAGTTATCATCATTCCACACACTCACACCTAAGCAGAAATTAGAGAACTTGATGAACCTACCATTCATGTTTTTGGACTGTGGGAGGAA